AGAGAAGCATTTCTTTGTAACACACTCCCGACGTTGTGTTTTGCCGACGCTGTCATTTTCTCTCTCTCTCTCTTTCTCTTTCTACCTTTTCCTCTTCCTCCTCCTTCTCCTCTTCCTCCTCGGGCACGGGGGGGAGACAAAACTGGCAGGAGAGAATGTAATTTTTGCTGTTTGTCTTCACAGACTGACTGGTATACACAAGCTGGACGCACGCAACAAAAAGAGACGAATTTAAAGACTACTCACTTGACCACGTCAAGGGCCTGCATCCAGGGAAAACTACTCCAACTACCTACCTATATATATATATATATATTTATATATATATAATATATATATTTTTAACTGTTCGCTTTACGTTCGCGCAACTGCAACAACGTTACTGAAACCTTTAACTGCTACTCTACTATTACTACTACTACTACTTTTTATCCTCTTACATGTTCGTTCACACGATTTATAGCGCTCGCGCGCGGAGGACTCATGTTTCTGTTACTTTAAGAGGCTTGTGCGAACGGTTGATTTCGTTGAGCATTCGTTCGCTGTATACCTAGCAAGCGCATGGATCCCTATGTGTGTACATTTTCTACGCTGGAACTGCAGAACTTTCCGAGAATCGAGGGAAACAAAGCGCACCTAAAGACGCATGAGGCGCACGTACCGATTCGTTTCCCGCATCGATTCCTGCGAGATCTTTCCTCTCTTCTTATTCCGATTTATAGCTTTATTTGTCTAGAATGTTACCTGTTTATTACGATACAGATCGTATTTTCTCGGACGGTGAACTGTCCGAGCTGTTCAAATTAAAAGTTTAATTAACTAAATTAAAGCTTTAACTCGACAATGGTAAAAAGGAAAAAATAACATTAATATATATATTTAACGAATAGTGAGAATATTTTGTTCAATGGCAAAAATATATTTCTCTACTATAATATATACGTAAATTTTGTTTTATATGTATAAAAAGCAATATACGGAATGCACTAAAGTACATTTCTTTTTGTAAAATAAGAGTGCTGTCCGTTCGCACAGGCTTTTAGGTATAATCTGTGCCTTAGGTTTAGCAAAAGAAAAATCTTTTATTTATATTTACATTTCTGTACTTTTCTTTTATAGTTATATTGCGTGCAGGAAGCAAAATGACTTGTACTTTATACACCATTGACAACTTTCACACGACGATAGGTATTAAAATTATTGCGGATTAAAAAACAAAAACTGCAAAATAAGGTATATCCTTGAGATACCGGTGCAAATATTTATCCTATGTATGATTGTTCATGGTCGGATTCTGTTCTTTGTTAACACATTACACCTTTTTATATCGTACATCGAGAGAGATCATGTTTATTATAAAATATTTTTAACTATTTTGTAATAAAATGAAACGTGTATTACGTCTTTTTCGTAAGAAAGAGAAAACGTTACCGCTTAAATTTTTAAATAACCAAAATTTTACTTTTAGTTCTTCCAAACAAGAAAGTTTTGATTCATTTCTTACCTTAAGAACTACCCATGAAAAAATTATCGACTTATTAAAAAAAGTGGGTTCACCGAAAGAAACGGTGAATATTTTTCGACTTTTAATATATAATAAAAATTTTATATATACAAGAAAGTATATAATATACTGATATAAAATGTTGCCAAAACGTATGTTAAATGCTTTTAATTGCGTGGTTGCATCTTGTTTTGGAAGCTATCGATGTATCAAATGTACTGGTATGTAAATTATCTTTCATGTTTAAGAAAGTACAAAGAAAAAAAACGGAACTATATATGTCGCTTATCGAGACTAAAATAGAAGGAAAGTCGGTTATTTCCCGGTAAAACCTGATACTCAGATTCACCACGAAACCGAACAACCTCGTCACACACGTAATAATGATTGACGCACAAATTTGAATGATGATAAACACGCATTTTTGTATCACCTACGTGCGATTAGACCCACACTGTATTGACCGTAAAAACGAATGATGTTCCAGGAGACTGTAACTGTGACTTGTTTTTTTTTTTTTTTTTTGGTGATATCAAATACACGTGGAATACGCAATAAATCCCAAACACCGACTCTTTCACTTTATTTTTTTTCTCACTGCTCACTGTTGAACGGAGAGTATTGTATGATTCTGTTTGCGCGCCCGTCATACTGATACTTTCTGAGATGATCTGACATGTGTTCTTCTCGCTTCCAGGATACCGCGGAAATTCCACGAGGGAGAAGCATCGTACCTGAAGACTGTGATACTATTTCTAGCGACGTGAAATTATTATAATGTTTCTACGAGATTGTATATGGAACAAAGTTTTACAGAGAATATATTATTATATTTTTATACACATATATAACTCTGTCCCGGTTGTGTCATTTGTATTCATAAATTTATTAGCATATATCTTCGCTATTTTTATTTTAAATGACTGGGCGAATTATATATATTATCTCTTTATGACCTATTTTTAGAAATTTTTTTAATTAATGAAAACAACATATATATATATTTAACGTTTTCTGATTTTTTTTTACAGTTTTGCAGTAATACTTTAATTGTGTATGATTATAAGTATTTTAATCTACCACTGAAAATTGAGTGTATTTTCCCTTTGCAAATTTTCTAAGCATTTGAGAAGCAGAAAACTAAACTTGTCGAATTACAGTAGCAACGACATACGTTCAAGAGAAACTCGCAGTAATAAAGATATGCTCAAATACAGACAACGAGCAGTAGTCAAGCCGCGGATCATCGGACATTAGAAAAATATACATACAAAGCAAAAGGGTGCACCTTTTTAATATATTTCTTATATTCCCTATTTTTTAAATTACATGTTCGTCTTTTTTTTTTTCTCTACATATTTTCTTAGCAAAAAAACCATCTGTCTCAAGAATATATCGATATTAATGATAGAAAAAGATCATTTCATAATTCTTTTAAAGACTACGTCTCGGAAATCTTTCTTTCGGGAAATTCAAGTGCGAAAGATTTAGTTTCAACCTTACTCAATGACGTATGCCGGTATAACGTGCGACGTGATCCTATTTCGATCACGCCGATCGCCACCGATCGCGGTAACGCGAACGGACCGAAGTGGGGCACGATCCGCTACGAATAGGTTGCGGTGTCGCCGCAGAGGGGCGGGAGGTTGAACGGAGGCGCTCACTCACGTGTCTCAGAACGTGCGGCCGGCGCGGATCGGCGACGGCGCGACGGCGACGGCCCGCGACTCAATCGCGAGAAAATTGCCAACGTCGGGCAGTGCATTCTATCGCACGCGTAAGAGATCATCATCGAACATTGTACTAACACCGTCGATCTTCCATCGTTAATCTCGAGCGTAGAGTGAAGTGAGAGATGAACCGCGAACTCGACGCGAGCGCGTCGCGCGCGTGAGGGACGTTTTTTCGGAGAAAGAATTAATATACGTTTTTTTTTTTTTTCCAAAGAGAACTATTTTATTCGAAAAATAGAGAGGGAGATTGCACAATGGAGGAAGTATCCGTGGAGAACGCCAAGGTGTCGGACTCCGGATACTCCAATACTTGCAGCAACAGTCAATCGCAACGAAGGTGAGCGCAATTCGCAATTTACCAAATTTCTTTTCCCGCGTTATTCAAAATGATCACGTCGCCTGTAATTTTTCAATCGTTTTTGAGTGACGGGATACTTTTCAACAAGACGACTAAAATATTATCTTTATAATTTGAGATTATATATCATTAAAAGATTTCTTTTATTAAATATAAGATTACACGAGAGAAAATGTTCTTTTTTAGACCCTTTTATTATTATTATTTTTTTTTTTTGAATTATTAAATTATGTGTAAGATTTGAATTTTTATAAACTAACTAGCCGCACGAACGCGGCTTCCTCTGACATTTAATAATAATAATTTCATACAAACAATGCGTGAAATTGAACATTATATATATTGAATTCACTATAAGACTACTATGGAATCTTTCTTGACACGTGATCGATATATATGTATTTCAAAGTAGCATCACACCGGGAAGGTTCGTGGGATACGCACGTGTAGCCTCCCTTTGAACTTCGACCATGCATTTATTCACGATGCAATTACCTTATTAGTAAATAACACGGTTGTATCTATATATTTATAAAGATTGATATATCTCGGTAAGTAGTTGACAGTAAAACATGACAATCGCATGAAATATCACATTGTTTATTTCTTTGAATTTCATTGAATAGCATTGTCAAATCTCATTCTCTATAAATTATAAAATTAAATATTCTCATTTAAAAAAAATGGAAAATATTTTGCTTGACTCTACGAAATTTATTTTATTTGTTTTTTATTTTTTATTTTGTATTAATTATAAAATCAAATATTTTTATTTTAAAACATGGAAAATTATGATTTTATAATTTATAGTGAATTATATATAAATAATAAAAATTCTATATCTTTTCTAAAAATAATTGAGTTTGCGTTTAATTAAGGAAATTACAGTTAATTAAGACGCCCGGAAATAGACGCATTAAACGCACAATGTTGAGCGTGACTCGGCGTCGCAATAATTGTAATTACGTCTCTTGGACCACAATAGCAATTTGTCCGCCGCCATCTGAGTGTACATTTCTTTTTGGGACATTTCCGATCGAGAAATGCTCCTTTTATCCACCATCTTACTTAAACGAGAGGCTGTTGTTTTATCATTTTTTTTTTTTTTTTTTTGACGCTACTTTTAAATGTACCGTCAATAATTACACATACACTCTGTACATCGCTATACGTAATATAACATAATAATTTTTCAAATAAATTGCACCGTATGATTATGCAACGACCATTAGTTCGAGTGCCACATGATTCATTAGGGAGATAATTTATTGGAAGTTGTAATATTTTAATTGATTGTCGCATAGATCTATCGCCTAATTATATAGATTGCAACAGATTAATTCTTTCGTTCGAGCTTATTGTTAGCTGCAGATCCCAGATTAATCGCTGCGCGTTTCATGGCAGCCCGTAACGTAGACTTTAATTGAAGCAATAGCATTTTTTTTCCGTGTATAATTAGAATCATCATTAGAGATATTGAAGATCTTTAAATATTTTCAATTTTTAAAAAATCGTGAGATATTTTAAAAATTATATTTATACCTTTAACAAAACAACGAAAACATGTTATACAGTATTAAAAAATTCATACATTTTCTCTTTTTGAAGAGGAGGGGGAGATCTTCGTTGATAAAAAAAAAATGCATTTAAAATATATCTCTCACATTTAATTGTCGCGTTATATATTTATATCGAATCTATTATAATATATGTGGATTTATTAATTACATTGTACGTTTTCTAATGCATCTCTCGGGAATTGTTTGACATTGACATGCTTTCCTCGCCGTGATGGCGAGAGGCGAGTAGTGCAACGTGCGAGGGAGACAGAAAATCGTACACGGTACGGTTAAGGCTAACCGGTTTCCCAGTTTGTGCCGGTTGCATTTTCCACGTCCTTAGCTAATGCGGCTAAAGACGCTTGCGAAACCTTCTCGCGCGAAAACGGGTCAAACGAAAAGGAGACATTAATCAATTCACAATCTATTCGAGCGCGCGGTCTCGCGGGCCACGTGACGGCCACGCGCAGCAATGCATCGTGAAATCGGTGATAAATTAACGAGGATACGGATCATCTCTTTTTCCGAGTTATTAAATTTTATTCGCAACAAGTAATATAAAAATAATGGAAAATTTGTAAAAAATCAAATAACAATGGCGCATATGTGAGTTTCTTTTACCTCTAGCAATATAATTTTTGGATTATTAGAGGGTTTGTAAAAAAAAAAAGATAAACACTTTCATATTACTCAATGTTAAAGAAAGCTTTATAGTATCATTTATAGCGAGATAATTTCGTATACAAGGTTTAATTACGCGCAGTTATTTCCGGTGGAGATTATAATCGGCGGGGACTATTATAATACAATCGAAGACGCCCTAAATGAACCGTACGGGATGATTATGTAGGTGTCACGGATAACAGGATAATTGCACAGATTTCCGCAACACGTATTATAAATAAATCGCCTTTGCCGATTGCGGTACGCAGAATGCGCGTAATGTGACATTTCACTGAAGTATTTATTCCTATTTACTAGAAATTCGTGAAAGCAAGCATCACGCGTTCACATATTGAAATAAAATGATATAAAAGTAAGGCTCTTGCACGATTAAAATCAAGTAAAATCCGAGTAAAAAGGCAAAAGAGCTGCGCGCAGTTTTTAGGGCGCAAAGGTATATAATTTAAACCAAAAAAAGGGCCGAAACGTCCGCCATTCGCGAATCATGTAATTAAAGAAATTCTCTAATTTTTTAATTTATTTTTTGGTTTAAATTATATACCTTTGCGCCCTAAAAACTGCGCGCGGCTCTTTTGCCTTTTTACTCGGATTTTACTTGATTGAAATAAAATATTTGAGCTTCAGAATATTCGAAGCAAAAAAAAAAGAACTTTAAATCGTCATTTTATATAAAATACATTCAGATAAATATTTATTTTTCATAAAATCATGGCGAGGCTATCAGGCGACTATTGAACATTGTTATGCAAAAGTCGGTTAATTTAAAATTATAGGGAACATATATATATAGTTTCAAATCTCCTGTTTATAATAAAAAGAGAACAAAAAATACTCATTTAACTTAAAATAACAAGATTCATTTAATTTAAAATAACATATACTTATTTAACAAAGAATAAGTAATAAAGAATATTCAGTTCACTTAGTTTATTCGAAATACTCAGAGGTTTAATCCGTTTTTGCATAACGCCGTAATCAAGGACGTAGCCTAGCCACCATTATTCCATTTTCTTTGTGTCCCGCATAAGCTTCGAGCATAACCAGCGAACGGAATCGATAATGGTCGTCGTCGTCGTCCTCGCGGACTAGTCACGGGGCCGCGAACGTGAAGCGATACCTTCTTATGCAATAATTTTTCTTTTCGAACAAATGCGGCCGGTCAATCGATCGGCGGCGGCCGGCAAATAATGAGGACAGTGAAAGGTTTGAGAAAGAGAGAGAGAGAGAGGGAGAGAGAAAAAAGAGTGAGAGAGAGAGAGAGAGAGAGAGTGAGAGAGGGAGGTCGTATGTAAGGGAGGGCCGAACGTGTCACGTTTGCCGAACATGTGATCGTGGATCTTTTTTCCCGGTTACGACCGGTTCGCTGCGATTTTGAGTCGTATGAATTCGACCCCGATTTACCGAGACTGTTGCCGAGAAAGACTAGACTATGTCGCGATTTTGCAATCATTTTGCACGGGAAGAATCCTGGCGAGATAAACGCGAATCGCGCCATGATTTCTGCAAGCCGATTGCAATCGATCTGATTATGTACAACGAATAATGCGACATTACAGGATTCGCCATTCAATGAGCGATAACAATACATTATAACGATACATTATTTATTTCGCTTTGCGAAGTATTTTAAGATTATACCGTAATATTGCTCTTGACATAAATGAAAGGAAGAATAATAAATAATATTTGAGTTTTTAGAATTAAAATATGCTTTGAATTTTAAAAGAGAGATTTATATCGTATTTAAATATATTTTCTTTTGATACTTTCTTCTAATTTCTGAGAATTTAAATTTATCTTATTCTAGACGTTTTTATTGTAACAGAATATGCGTATTTTTACACTCTTGTAGGCTCATATCCAAAGATATAAATAACAAGAGTATTTATTTGTCATCCATCGTTTTTATTGTTGCGGATCTGCCGCTCGGGATTTATCAGATGATATAGCGTCAGTGAAAACAGCTGGTCGAGATCCGACTCGATAACGCGCAGTAGTTTGTCTCATTTTGTGTCAGACACACACACACACACACACACACACACACACACACATTCCGCGTTATTCGAAAAATAATATAATAAAGTTTTAAACTATCAGAATTATTGTGTACAAAGGATCGAAAATAGAAATTTGCAAATATATATATGTATATATACAATTTTCGCATTATTTGATATAAATAGAGAAATAGAATTTTCTAATGTTATCTTACGAAACATTTTCGTCGTTTTCTGTTACAGCAGCGGCTCCGAAAGCAGTGGCTATTGCGATAGGAATCCGTCAACTTTGGGGTCCAGGTAACTTCGTCTGTTGACCGATCGTTTATTAGATTTTCACAGACGTTACACACGCGAGAGAAATGATTAAAGTCTGAAAAAAATGTATGATGCAGTTACAATATCAAATTTAATATACATTTCAGATATTATATATATTTATATTAATTTGTCATTAAATTCATGAAAATAAAAGTGAACAAACAGAGCGTGCAAACGTGATATGGAATTATTTAGCGGCACTAAACGAAGCTATTTAGGGCGCTGCATGTGAATTTATTTCGAGCCAATAATTTGCAGAAACGGAGATTGCCGTTGTGACATTTCTTCCACGGAATCTGCAAAGGAATAAATAAAGAGGATCGATCGTCCTTGATAATTTTATAAAAGTCTGAAAAAGGCATGGTGATAAAGAATTCTTGTCATTCTTCAAATCTATAACTATTTCGGAAAAGCTTCGCAATTTTCAGAGATTGTTTCGTAAATGAGATAAATATTGCGATTCACAAATATTAATTCATTATTATAATTTGTTAATTATTCTGCGCATGTTTCTAATTTGCTTCCGTATCGCTCGATGAATTGTAGCCCGATAGACGAAACACACGTTGTTTATTTCGGAATGTTACCGGCTTTAACTATCTAGTCGTACGCGCATAGTAACTTGAAGTGGACATATGTAGTAGCGCGATCAGATTTTAATCGGATCATTTATATATATATATCTCAGAAAATATAGTCCTTAGTTTCGTAACGATCTTCTCATCGTTACGTATTTTAAAGGAAATGCTTCCAATTAAGAATGTTCGTTTTATTGTGTTACACATACAAAAAGAAAAAATACTTTTCTCAGCAAGATCCCTTATTAAAAATATATATTTTGTTTAAAAAAATACCATATATTTCTTTTTTATTTATATATAAGAGCGAAATAAAATTATAAAATTGTTTATAGAGAAATATTTTCGATTAGGATCAAACTTGTTTAACAAAAATATAATTTTAATGTCTGAAATATGTTCTTTGATTAAAATTCATAGTATATATTTTTTTAACATAATTTTTTAATACAAAAGGAAAAAAATATTATAATTCTTCTTCTTTAAAGAAATTAAATAATCACGCGGAATATCTCGCGGCGACTTTTCCGCAAAAATAAGGTCGATCGCGTTTTCAAGCATCACCGTCGTCGCGTAATCTGCCATAACATTGCACGCTTGTAAATAAAGCGTAGTTTAAAGTCGGTTACACGAATATGTTTTCGACAACATCGGCAACGGCACCGTAAACATTGACGCACGTGTCGTGCCATGTGCAGCTGTTGACTAAGCTGTATTCATCAGATATTCTCCTGCGTTTCATTGCATAATACAGAGGGATGAGGCATGGTAATAAGAAGCGTATATCGATTTGAATATTGTATTGAAATTCATGGCCGAAGTCGATAAAGCAATACGGTTCATATAATTAAATTATGAGAAAATTTATGCAACTATTTCATCCCTGAATCCTCTTCCTATAAACAATTTAAAGTATTATGCATTATGCGACTTTACATACTTTATCAAAATTAAATTAAAATAGAACATCAAAGATTATATTTTTGTATTTAATCCATTTTAATTTATTTTTTCTTCAATTCTCTTAAAAAATTGCGAATTAATCGCGAGAATACATATAAAGATAATTTTTTAGAAACTTCACGTAATCTTGAAATTAATATCGCTTTATTCATTGATCTGTCTGTATTGCCATGAACTTATTTAATTAGTAACATCAGTTAATTGCAGCTCTCATTGATGTGACGCGTTAAGGCAGCAATTCTCACACATACCAGTTTTTCTCAATTTTTTTCTCAATTTTTTTTTTTAAATTTCATAATCCATTGCTTGAAAAATGTGTAAAAATACAGAGATCTCTTTTGAAAAGAACCTTAAATTAATAATGAAAAAAAGAGTGAACGGAGCGATAGTTTGATCTATCAAACTCTAAGAAATCCGGATTTTACAAAAGCTAATGAAAAGTATGAAATGTAAATAAAGATTAAATCTATCATGCGAATAATAAATTTTCAACAATATCATGATTATAATTCGAATATCGATATTAATAACTGCTGTCGAGTAACTGTCTCGTACAGCAATGCTTTTATAGAGACTTCGAATGAAAGCACGTTGCAATCATGCGAAACACTATTTCACGTTGCACGTTGGTTGTACCATTTACAATTTTCATATAGCTCTGATTCTATTAATACGCAATTGGATAAATATACCGTCGCTAATTAGTCTATTTGAATTATACACAATTCTGATACAAGCAACATCCTGACATTTAGGAGATTGTGTATTTTAGCATATCTAAATTTATATTATGTGTATATAAAATATTTTCTTTTATAAAACATTAAAATAATTTTGTAGGATTGGAATGAGATCCTTGAAATGGAATAGAAAAGGGATCGCAGTTAAATTTATCGCGGCTGTTTCATCATTAATCTATGTATTTAATTAAACAATCGTAATACATAAATTTGTTAGATAACTTGGATCGAGTAAAACCTAAGGGGACTGAAATAATTTTGTTTGTCTGATACACATCCATTGTGACATTATATTACTCGCGTATTTACAAAGGCTGCGATTCGATAATCGCCGGTCGCATCTGCGCAATAAGAAAAGGGCTGACCAAATTCGCGTCTGATTATGCGAAAGGTGATGATTTCGCGAGATAGCGATTATCTACTTACTGTCGCAGCCACGTGCGATAATGGTTTGTAAGAACTCCGACCGGAAAATTAGAAGAGAAAATTCAAGAAGAAATAAATTTTTTTCTGTGCGGAGTTATATTATTAGTGATTTATTATCGTGTAAATTTAATGCAAGGAAATTTATATTAGTTTTAGATAGATCATTTTAGAGTCGTAATTGATCTACCAATTCACTCACTCAATTACCATATAATCATCGGCACTTGATGATGCAATTCTCTGCCATTTATTCCGCGACGAAAGTGCATAGATCGTGCAATCAAAAGCATTTCCGGTGAAAGCGTCCAGAGAGGATGATAGATAGTTAAGCAGACTTTCCCTGCCTCATGCAACGTAACGGTCACGTTTTTGTTATATCAGAAACCTGTAAGAGAGGGCTTTCCGGGAGAAAGCTATCATCTATATATAGACAATTTATATCACATTGTATTTAAGACATTTATATATCAGTTATGATTGCAACGTGATATATTGCATTCGTAAAAAATATAATTCCATTTATTATTAAATAAATTAAACTTATCGAATAAAATATTAATTTTTGATATTTCTTCCAAAGTTTCGTGGAGAGATGAGTCCAACTTACATCTCGATTAATCCATCAGAATTATTTTTAATGATCATTATCGATGAATCATCTCGATGTTGTCTCGCGAATATTGCATTTGCGACATAAGGGAGAAAAGACGGCGAGAAAACCTCAACGTCATTTCATAAAGATTTCTTAAGAAGAAATTAATGTTTGCGCATATATATACTATACGTTTGCACGCTCTTGTAGTGGAATATTTCTCCTGGCGTTTATTTTTAGATTGCGCGAGAATCGTATTCATTCGCGCATTCTCGCTTATCAGCTTAATACGTTGATATTTGCTCGTCACATGGCACGACACGCGGATGATCTGCAGATTTGATTTTTCATCGCTCACGCGACCATAATCAAATGATAGTTTTAAGTAACAACGACAACCGAGTGATTCTTGTTATTAAAAAGTTTTGGATTCAAATATATTAAATACTAAAGTATTATATTAATATATGTTAATTATGTAATAATTAATTATGTTAGCGTAATTAAGTCATTAAATTGATTAGTATTAAATAGATATCGCATTAATTATTCTCTCGATTGTAAAAAAATATGTAAATTGCATAGTTAATTTGCATTTAAAATATTCACTGTTGTATCAAACATAAAAAGAATCGTGGAAATAATAAATTTAAATCGTCTTTTAATGATACTTGTTATAAATTCGGCGGAGGATTATACGATGTCTCACACAATTTTATATGTATTGTGTGTATCAGCAATGAGACGCTCCCGCAGCCGATCAGCAAGAGAAAGGACAAGGAGTACAAGAAGAAGAAGTCGAAAACAGTATCGGCGCTTAACGCCTCCGAGACGAAAGTCGGCGCTTTGAAGACGTCGAACGCGTTGCCGGAGGTCGCGTCTTACAACACCATCACCCCCACAAACACCGGCGTGCTTGACAAGAAACCAGGTTGGTTTCGCGATCCATAAAAGATGGGAAACGAGTGCACGCAAACTGCCCGCAATTTTTTATCTTACGAGTCGCTCTTGATTTTTTTTTATTTTCTCTATCAATGAAATAGACTCGAATTAAGTTACAAAATTTTTCAACTTGTTATCGATCTAGAAAGAGGAGGGAAAGATAATAAACTTTGCCATAATAATTTTATTATCGATCGAAAATAATTGTCGTTCAGATAACGTTTATTTTTCTGCCTGTTTTGTCTGATTGTACACGCGTCGTTTTCACTCGCAGTGAAGTAAACTTAAACTAGGCATACTTGCTTTTACACTCTTACCAAGCAAGATTGCTTTCGCCAGTCTCACTCACAAATATGTATTAATACCCGCAAAACTTTACTTATTTACACCTGTTGAATTAGGTCTATGTCTCTCGCAACGAGAGATCGAAATCGCTGTACATACGTCGCAAGCCTATCATTCTTTTGTTTGTTTCTTGATAAGTTGGTTTCGTGCACTCTTCCCGACTTCTTTAAGTTTCGCTTATTCTCCGATCTAAGACTTCCGTTCAACGATCCTTTCACGGTTATCCGGCCAATATCTCGTTGGAATGAGAATACAATCTCGTCGAACATCTCGAAGCTAACGAGATTATGGTTAAAAATTTAAGCTGGATGAAAGAAGGAACAAAATATGTGATTCTAGAGCGCGTCAAAGCATAATAAATATACAAACATAAAAATAAAATCTTTTGAAATTGGAGTAGTAAAAAGAGATTAAAAATTTGAACGCATAATTCTCGAGAGATCATTTTCACAATCAACGCGAGTTGTTATTTTAAAACTTTTACAAAACATGCGAATTATGTACTCGTCTTCGTAATCAAAATTGATCCGCATCCGCCATCGGGCTGCTGGTGACCCGAAGGAGATACACGTTATGTCATACTTTGATTTCACTCAATTGAAATCATCACAGATTTCTTAAAAATAGCGTTTTTTTGGCAAGGGAAATATGGAAAGATTTTTTTTTAGCAGCTATTAACGATTTTAAAATAGTATCACCCGTTGTCCCCTCTAAATTTCGCATTTTCCAATTTTTTTTCAGTGTCACGTATTTCTTTTTGTATTCTATAAATATTTATGATTGTAAGATGGTGCGAAGATTTAATTAAATAAAAATTCAATAAGAATTGCGAACTGTTAAAAAAAAAAAAAGAAATAAAAAGGAATCAAAAAGCTTGACAGAGAAATATGTAGTAAATTCTTGAGAGAAAGATTTTTTCTGTCGGTTTAAAAAATTTATAGACATTGCATGTGCATTGTAGAGCCTTGTTTCTTTCTCGGGAACGTGATAGATTTCAATACACGTGAGTTATATAAACTATCGAGAACTTCTGATGGATCAATAAGCTAAGCGACGAAGCCAAATAAGTTTAATCGCGCGTTTAAAACATGGAACTTAAATTACGGTACAGATTCGTTTTTTTTTTCCAAAGGAGTGTGTTATACAATGCGTTGATGTAATGACGTGAAAATTTTCGAACTAAAAATCTTTTGTTCATTTTTATTCGTGATACATGAGTATTACTCGTATTTTTAGCGAGTTAATGCCAACCCTTGGGGATGTATTAATTGGAAGTGTAATGTGCGCGTTACGAAATCATCCACGTTCTGTGTCCTCGCCAACGCGTTATTTCCTATGTTTGCGTAAGCGTTTACGTCGTTGTTTATTTAAAGTTTATTAAATGTTTATTCAGTTTAATCTCATTTACACACACACACACACACACAATGGACGAATTAAATATAGAGCTCTTAAAAAATCGTTTTTTATTAATGATAAATTTTATGTCGCCTCTTGCTTATAATTTTTGGTCTAAATAATAGAATATTACATATACTGTATATAGTATACACATTATCTGGATATGTAGGATTGAGCAGGATATCAATTTTGAAAATAAAGTTGCGAAGGATGATAATTTCTTATCAAACTTTTGTGCAACAAAAATCTTTTGTAACTACTATTGTTGCTACTTGGAGATGTATATTTTGAGAGAGAAGAAAGTTTAGACCGAATGAAAGGATCAATACATCATTGCAATATATTGTCATAATATAATTAGCTCCGCTTTCACTTAAATGCCATCGTATTGCACGTGTGTATCCCACGCGTTCGCAAAGAAATGCCTTTCACCAGGAAGCGATGACACACCTGGTTTGTAAGTACAGCTGGGAAGTAATGGCATTGAATTTTCCGATGTATTCTTCCAGCGATCGTTTTGGTAACGCGATTTTACGACAAAGTACGAATTACAACGCGGTGACTTTGGACTAAGGGAACATTGAGCACCCTTCTCCTTAAATTTTTGCACTCGTTCATTTCGACTATGACCATTCTTTTTAAAACAAGAAAATATAGATATATGATTTATAGATATAAGAAATTTATATTTTTAAAATTGTTCTATTCTTTTGGAATATTTTTTTTTTAAATTAAATTATTTAATTTATATTACATACATGCTTTGTTTTATTTTACACTTGCTATGGACAGCATATTATGAAAAGATCTCTCGAGAACGTGCTTTCTTCCTGTTTTGTGACATTTGTCATATCTTTCTCGAGTATTTTGATATTAAGACATCAGATCAATATTACTGAGCTTATTCAGATAAAATATCTACAAAATATGTATATTATGAATTCTTTCCCCTTTTCCGCTTTATTATTCCCTAGCCGTCAGCTTCTCAGGCAGATGATCCGAAAGACAACGTATAATAATGAGAATTTTTTTGGTGTAATTCTAGAAGAGGTAGCCGTGGAATTAGTGGATGCAACAGATCCTGGCGAACACAACAGTGATATAGTCGCAGATCTGGAAGCAACAGGGCTTGCTTCGCGGACGACCTCTCTGGACGATTCTACGTCTCAGGCCAACGTTAGTATACGTAATAGGGGGAGGAGAATTAAAAATGAACGGAAAGCATAGAGAATCTCGTGAAACTATAATTGGTATCGTGAAATAAGCTTGGCATCGTGATAACTTTAGGTATCTACAATGATTTTTAGCATAGGAATCTCGCCGTTAATAATTCCGTCGCATTTAATTTTACTTTGTCCTCTGGTTTTTTTTAATTTTTTATTTTTTAATCGCACGTCTGAGATAAAAAGTCAAGGATCTAATATCACTATTATCATTCGCGTTAAAAGTGTTAATAATGTTAACGCGTCACTGTGGATCATTTCCTCCCCTTATATACCGGATGTGTTCTGTAGGAGGGATTTTGTGCGGTGATTTCAATGCACGACGGCCTCGTGTTGTACACAACCCCGTCGATAGTCACTGCCCTCGGCTATCTCAAGGATGCCTGGATTGGCCGATCCTTCATCGATTACGTACATCCGAAGGATAAGAATACCCTGGCCGATCAGATCAATGCCATCGCTTCGCCACAGGAAGAACGGTCTAAAGGTATATAAAAATTATATCCGACAAATATCTTATCGAAAAACGATCTCTTTCTCGAGAAATTATATATTTCCTTTCAACAGATATTTTTTAAAATAATTATATTTTTACGAATCAGTGTTTTTGAAATTCTATATTCTTCTTTGACGTTTGAATGGGATCTATTGCTTTTTTCAGGCATCAATGATAGAAGGGCGAGCTTGTTCTGCGGCTTGCGAAGGTTCACCAGATGCAACGTGCCAAACGGACATTGCGCGGACGTTAGATCGAACTTGTACTTGACATTTCATCTGACCCTATCGTTCCGTGATTTCCGGGACCGGACGGCCGAACAAAAGCCCAGCAACCGAGCTATGTTTCTCGTAGTTACCGCACAACCCGTCCATTCCGCATACAAAGGTAGCATAGTTTAAGATTTTCGACTAGGTCCGGCCGGCGAAAGGACTCGATAATTACAGACAGTCGGTTTTTATTATTGCAAAATTAGCTAGTGAACAGACAATTTAGCGCAATCATGATCCGAGAATGAGTGATTTCGAGTCTCAGAAAATTGATTTTCAAATCAAGTTATTTCGATTGCTAGCGGATTTCACGCAACTAACTTTTTTCACATTAAAATTTTTTTTCTCGCTAAAAATTGTTAAATCTTCTTCTGCAAATGTATTAACCGCATGAAGTATATTTTAATGTACGGAATGATCAAGGTGAAGTTTCGTCGAATTAACTTGAATTTACAGGATAAAATATCTAGGATGTATCCGAAATATACAAAAAAAGAAAAAAAATGCAAAATCTTTGCGCTGTAATAACTCTCTATAATTACGATCAATCAAATTATCAGTTATTTATTCATTTCCGAAATACATCCCTTATTATGTTTGAGAATCGAAACACTTAACATTCACTGCTCGCTTAATCGAGCCTTGTCGTTGAGTCCGACCTCGTCGACAATACTCACAGTGAGTTGGTGGTTTCCATGGAAAACGTCTAAAGCGAAGATAACTTATTTTCAATTTTTTCAAAGGCGGTGACACTTGACGGTATGTTGATTGCCATTTTTGTCGTTGTGTTTTTTTCCGAACCGTTTTTTCGTTTAATTTGGAGACCACTGTTATGAACGCTCTTAAACTCGCGGCTAAGTATTCGCCAGCTTCGCTTTGTCTGAGCACATAAAAAATTTACTTATTTTCGACCACAATGCACATTCTTATGCATGCAAGCTTCGCCATCAGGTGTTTCATTTTGATTTCAAGCGATTTCGAATTTTCATTTGCATCGGTAGGTTTTGTATTATTTAAGTTTTTTATTTCGACGTTTTTTTTTTTTTCGCCATACTTTTGAAAAAAGCGTCACATATACTCGGTTAATTTTTATACGATCAGTGTCGTGTCAACTGCTAGTACCAACGGTCCACTGCTCATAACCGAAAGACAAAATGTACTCTCCTGAAGAAAGTACCAGCAACAGTTGCAAACGCATGAATTACTACGTTCCACGAGACGAAATTAAACCGTGCAAGAAACCACGAGATGAAATCAAATCGTACAAGAAACCGTGTAATTTGTAAGTATTACTGGGGTTTTTTTTTTTTTTATTTTTTTTTTTTTTTTTTTTTTTTTTTTTTTTTTTTAATCAATAGATTGTGCACGCGATGTATTTATTATGAAATTATTTACAAGATTGTTGTTACACATTATATTCTTCCGAAAATGGCATATTAATATAGAAAAAAATCCTGAAAAAAAGATAAAATTTCGAAATGTTTATTCGTAATTATTGTGGAAATTCGTACAGACAACACACACACAAAGAATATATAGAACTGATATAGAAATAACTTTAATTAATGTCGAGAAAAATGGGCCTTTTATATAACTATGCAATTAATCGATTGATCTTACAATGTGCGAATTTCCACACTGCAGCTTGTCGACGCCTAACCATGTCGTAACAACTAAGATTCTCACTCAAAATAATAACTCCCGACGAGAGAGAATGACCCCAACCTTGTCGTTATCCACAGCGCCAGAAGAAACAATAATATCTTCGATATTCACGACCTGCCACACCGCGACATGCTATTTATCTCATGTCGATCCCGACGTAGTCCAATACTTCGGCTACCTACCACAGGATATGATTGGCCGTTCGCTGTTTGACTTCTACCATCCCGAGGATCTACCCTTCATCAAAGATTTTTTTTTTTTTTTTTTTTTTTTTTTAATCAATCGATTGTGCACGCGATGTATTTATTATCAAATTATTTACAAGATTGTTGTTACACATTACATTCTTCCGAAAATGGCATATTAATATAGAAAAAAATCCTGAAAAAAAGATAAAATTCCGAAATGTTTATTCGTAATTATTGTGGAAATTCGTACAGACAACACACACACAAAGAATATATAGAACTGATATAGAAATAACTTTAATTAATGTCGAGAAAAATGGGCCTTTTATATAACTATGCAATTAATCGATTGATCTTACAATGTGCGAATTTCCACACTGCAGCTTGTCGACGCCTAACCATGTCGTAACAACTAAGATTCTCACTCAAAATAATAACTCCCGACGAGAGAGAATGACCCCAACCTTGTCGTTATCCACAGCGCCAGAAGAAACAATAATATCTTCGATATTCACGACCTGCCACACCGCGACATGCTATTTATCTCATGTCGATCCCGACGTAGTCCAATACTTCGGCTACCTACCACAGGATATGATTGGCCGTTCGCTGTTTGACTTCTACCATCCCGAGGATCTACCCTTCATCAAAGACATCTATGAGACTGTGAGCATGAGCCTCCCTCACCCCTCAAAAAGAAATCTAGGTTCCTTTTAGTTGTGTGTGCACGCATGAAAAAAAGTGATGATAATGAAGGGAGAAAGAGAGAGAATGAATGCGATCCTGACGGGGAGAGATAGGAAGAGCGAAAGAGCGTTCTCAGTTTACGTAAAATTATTCACATTGGTTCCTTTACTCGTCGTTGAACAGGTGATCAGGCTCGAAGGCTCTTCCTTCAGGTCGAAGCCGTACAGATTCGCCGTGCAGAACGGAGGCTGCGTCGTCCTCGAGACCGAATGGTCATCCTTTATCAATCCCTGGACGAAAAAACTAGAGTTTGTCGTAGGTCAGCACCGGGTGCTCAAAGGGCCGGTGAAACCAGACATCTTCCGCGTGCCGTCCGACACCGGTTGCAGCTATCTGGCCAGTATAAGTGAGGAGGTGCTGAAGGAGGCTAAGATCATTCAGGGCGAGATACGAGCGCTCCTCGACGAGGTAATGACATATACTCGTTACTTGTATGGTACAATTTGAATGTGTCCGTTAGTAAAGAAAGAAGAAACTGGATTACAATCACTCTTATCTTATCGCAGCTCTTTAACATCGCAATTATAATTCTTTAATAGCGCGACGAGACTTAATATTATCCACAGATGGAGTAAGTCAACTCATTCTTTAACGTGTTTTCTCTTCTTTTTCTATCGTTTTTCTACATGTGCGCAGAGCGTCCAGCGAATGTCAGATATAACTGAGCTCGACGTATCAAAACGATGTAAGGATCTAGCGTCTTTTATGGAAAATCTGCTCCAGGAAACGAAGGCGCTTGGCGTCAGGAAGGATGGACTTCTCACGGCGGACGAACTTAGGAGTTTTTCGGTGACTATTAGCTACGTTTTAGTATCGCCGAGAAAACACTATTACGCTAATTACCACTTATGCTCCGCTCTGGTATGCTACGGAAAGAAAACTCTAATACATATCTATAATATATATAATAGATACTTAATAATAATACTACTTAATAGTACAATGTGAAAGGTAAAACTCTCGTATAACGTAGTCGTTTAATCTTTTCGTTGATGCACGATACGCTTTTCCGGTAATTCGTTTCTGAATCTTCGAAGAAGACAAAAAAGAATTATAAAATCGTGATGATTGCGCGACATTGGAAGAGACGCGTTGATGTCATCGGGAATTTTTTCTCTTTTTCCGCATTCAAAATTGTAGCGAAAAACGACGTACTGAAAATGTATCGTGATCAAAGAAGAAAAAGGGAAGTTGTTCGTGAGAGAGGCCGGTGATTTCCGCTCTTGAACGTTTCCTTTCTCTCCGCAAATATGGCATGATGTAAATAGAACTAAAACAATTCGTAGAACCTCTAATCGATAAGACTTTATGGTAACGCGCCTTTACACGAAGTAACCGGAAACTTTCGCCTGTCGCTCGGCTCTTCTTGTAGTTCTTCTCTATCTTTATATCCTTGATATAATTGCCATTAAAACGGTGCGTTCGACGATATCTCGAAAGGGCTCAATATAAAATGTGTATTTTATGATTAACTTACGTGCACGGTGTCTTCTTTAGCGATCTTTAACTGAACGCGAATTCTTTAATTTTCCATAAGTATCCGATTTTTTTTAAATAGTTCAATTAAATAAATAATTATCATTGAATTAAAAAAGATTTAATTAAATTATTTTTAAAATTATATTAAGATGCCGAAGTGTTAATCAACATTGTTAATTTATATTAATGACACTGTTCACGCAAAGTTCCATCGAGCACCACCTTGATTTTTGGATGAATAACAGTCTTCTGTAAAGCGGTAGAGTTATTAAATTTCTTGTAGATAAATTTCCATTGTCATAGATTACCGTTGAATAAATTTTTTAATCATTTATTTAATAATAATTTTAATAATTTATTTATTTAAATTCTTGATGATCGTAATCAGATCAAGGCGGATCTCGAGTTCGTTTGTGATATCGATTACGTAGCACTGATGAAAACGCGCTGCGACCTGCGAAAAGATTCTCGCTGCTTCTCCAAAATCTTTTTAGAGGGGCTTAGTAGAGTTAAGGTAAAGGTGAGTAGATCCCCCAGGGTACTTCGAAAGAACGGAAGTGCGGGCTAAGAGATACTCTCACACCATGAATTCATAGCAGCTGTAACATAAACAGTGGTTAGCGGAGAAAAAGCTTTAATCAAGAAGCTTCTCCATCAAACTCTTTTGTACATAGACACAGACGGATGAGAAATTCGGGTAGGGCCGGTAATGGATAAGCGTCAATTTCAAAATCTTGTAGGCACTGATTGTTTGGTAAGTTTCTATTCTACGTATTTCTTTTGTTGTTTATCTTTTTTGTTTCACACTCAATATTATTATTCCTCGATAACGCGATGAAAGAAGCGATCGTAAGCGGCGGGAAATCCGTTTATCTCCACTGCCTTTCTCAAATGAGATATCAACCTTCTGGATTGTGTGTGTGTGAATATTTTGCTTCATTAGTCAATTTACTAGGACTTTTGGGTATTCTTTTAATCAACGTGCAATCGACATGCATATCCTTCCATTGTGAGACCCGATAAAAATCGATCAAAAACGAAGGTTCGAATAAATTATTCCTGTTTCGTTTCTCTTCAGGAAACTTCGGAAATCTTTTCGCTCTTGTATCATGCAATTTTTTTATCGAATAGCAGTCCCCAGTATTCTTATTTGAATTTTTTCACTATCGCGATTATCTTCTCAAGCGATGGCATATCGAAATGTATATGATATTTTATACGCAACAACATATTTTTTGAAATTCTAGTTTATACCTGTCGTGCCGGAAAATTATTACAGAATGATATTCGTAACATCTGGTGAACTTGTTCACTTACAAGGTTTTGAAACTAATGACAGAGTATGAACGGGCGAGAATATGGAGAAAAGGTGAGAAATAAAAAAGAATATGCAGATGATTATTGATGAATTGACTATTCAATTTTGATATTATGCTCTATGTATTATGTCGTTAGTTTTCGCTTTGAAAAAAAGTTTTCGCTTTAAAATTTCATTTAACTTATTGTTTTGTATTCTTTTTTAATTTATATATTTTTCTCAATTTATTCTTATTGTTTATGTTTTTTATTATTATTGATACGCATAGTATTTTCAAAGAGTTAAAGATGGAACAAGAAGGATGAGAATAATGATGATGATAATGATGTATGAGAAGAGAAGAATGACAAAAATATAAAATAGAGAACAGGAGAATCGAAGTGGTCATTGGAATCATTATAATATCGATCACAATTCAGATTTTGACGATATGAAACGCTCGTCTACGATACTGGAGCCGCGAGCTCTACCGGTTCCAATCGATCCAAGAGATTGATCAGGAGGAGGGAAATAATATAAATCCGACGCAACGAGGGATATTGTGATCCGAACGGTGCTCGCATGATTGATTGATCGATTCTAAAAAATTCTTTAAATAATTCTCTAAATAACGCGTAAATATCTGCACGGTGTTTGGCAGCAGAAGCTTGCGCCGCAAGCTTGTGAATGGATGGTCGTAGGTGTATGGGTGAGGGTCTTTCAACACTTCGTTCTAACGAGGCTGATCTCCGCCAGTGCTGCCGGCATACTTACTCACCGCTCATGCAAAAACTTTATTGATCCCGATAACGATGTTAAATTACATCAGAGACAATTCGTATTAAGTTTCTACAATATACTTTGAAAGGGATCACGCAATCCCTTGTTGCAGGAGCATGATAGCGTGATGCTCGGTGAGATCTCGCCCCATCACGAGTACTACGACAGCAAGTCCTCCACGGAGACGCCACCGAGTTACAATCAGCTTAATTATAACGAGAACATCGAGCGTTTCTTCAAGAGCAAACCGCTCGTCACCACCATATACGGCAGCGACGAGGAGAATGTCAATTCCAGCAATGACGAAGGGGGTAAGCCATCATCTTCGCCATTCCCTCCTTCTTCTTCATAAATTAAAAATTCGAGACATACATATTTTGTTGAGACAAATTTTTCGAGAGGAAAATCAAGGGAGGATCAAAGTCGGTTATCTTTTCAGCGAGGAAGTACATGTCGCTGATAAACGGCAGCGGTGCGAGCGGCAGCGGTAGCGCCGAGAATTTGAGCAGCGGTTCCAACAATCAGACGAGCTCGGCCAGTCGAGGTGACACCTTTAACATCACAAGCAATAGCAACGCGACGGAGAGTTTCAAACTACCCACGTTGACTGAGTCACTGCTGAATCGCCACAACGAGAACATGGAGAAGCTAATGATGCAGAAACATCGAGAGCTGCGTTCCAGCATCAAGAACAGTGACAAGCTGAAGGACTCCCGCATCAAGACCGAGAAGGGCAACGCGACCGACCAGAGCACCCATTACGTGAATCAGAGTCACGGGATCAAGAGGAGCTGCAGTCATAGTTGGGAGGGTGATAGCTATAAGGTATCTTTTCATCTTTCTCACGTGGCACGGATAGATATTTACTATTCCTGATTTTCCAATGTTAAAGATATGAGATAGACGTATAAATATATATGAATTACATAAGTTATAGAAGCGAGTAAAAAATGTCTAACAATAAATAAGATTTATACGAGTCTAAACGAGAAGAAAATATGGAAATAGATATCAAAACACGATAAAATCTCGAGGACGAGCACGGCAGGTCCGGCGAACCTGACGACCACCGTCACCAGTATGAGTCTTGATCAGTCGACTGTGGTGCAAACGGGGACGAATATTAACCTGTGGCCACCGCTGTCAGTTACCGTGCCCCCCTCCTCCGCATCTGCTCAACCTTGCAGTTCCTTCCACAAGTAAGAACTCGCTCTTTTAAAATATTTATATTATATAATATAATAATGAATTTTATATATATATATATACATATATAGACACTGTTCGTAGAATTAATTATACGAAATATAATAACAGAAATTAGATGTGATATTAGAGAAACAATTACGAGCCATGTGGAAGTGAATTGTTTTAAGCACATTGTGCACTTTTCAGCACCAATTCGGAGACGACACCGAGATTTTCCTTATTTTCACCGGTGATACCGGTATATTACGTGCCGATGTCGCAACCCAGCGAATCCACGGCGCCGATGTCATCACCCCAGAAGAAACTCGATCCACCCTGGTCGATGCAATCGATGCAGCATCCTTACAGTAAGTGTCAAATTCGACACAGAAATAAAAATAGGTCTATAAAAACATTTCTCTTGATTACCGCAAATACGTTTCTCTTGATTAGCTATAAATGTGTGCCCCCCTCCTCCGCATCTGCTCAACCTTGCAGTTCCTTCCACAAGTAAGAACTCGCTCTTTTAAAATATTTATATTATATAATATAATAATGAATTTTATATATATATATATACATATATAGACACTGTTCGTAGAATTAATTATACGAAATATAATAACAGAAATTAGATGTGATATTAGAGAAACAATTACGAGCCATGTGGAAGTGAATTGTTTTAAGCACATTGTGCACTTTTCAGCACCAATTCGGAGACGACACCGAGATTTTCCTTATTTTCACCGGTGATACCGGTATATTACGTGCCGATGTCGCAACCCAGCGAATCCACGGCGCCGATGTCATCACCCCAGAAGAAACTCGATCCACCCTGGTCGATGCAATCGATGCAGCACCCTTACAGTAAGTGTCAAATTCGACACAGTAATAAATAGGTCTATAAAAACATTTCTCTTGATTACCGCAAATACGTTTCTCTTGATTAGCTATAAATGTTCTTCAGATCTAGATCTTTAAATCTATCAAACTTAGAATTGAAAGAATTGGTATATTAATAAGCAGGATTCGTGCTAGAAAATAATTTTAATGTTTGTTCCAGTGTCCTATGTTACAACATCGATGACCGGGATGATTTATCCAGCCATGATCGGCGCGCCGCCGCCGTGCGCGATGATGTATCAGCCGTTTTTGATACCGGAGCAAGCGCCGGCGCGCGAAACCAACCAACAACCGTCCAACAAGTGTCCGGATCATAAACGACCGGATAGTCAAGCAACGAGTGTCAAGGCCGAACCGGGGAGTATAATGGCCATGTCCGAGTTCTCCAAGAAGGTAAAACGGCCGCTAGTTGACATTGGCTTTGGTGCATACCTCACCATATACAAATTATCTGTTATAGAAAACAACTGAAAAAATCGCAATTTATATTATTGAGTTTTGAACAATTTTAATATTTATAAGATTGACTGGAAATTTACATTCTCGGTAACGATTCTACGGAGAGATGTCACTTTATATCGTAGTTTTAACTACTCCGGATAGATCCTGTCGCCGGGCGGGCTGTTCTCGTCGTGCGTGAGCAATGACGGCGGCTGTTCAAGCGTGGCGGATCTCGTGACGCCGATGAGCATGAAGGAGCATCGTCGGACGACCGATTACAAGGAGGACGAGTCGAGTTTATCCAGCTTCTACAGCAGCTTCTTGTACAAGAGCAGCGACAGCAGCTGCAATCCAGACCAGAAGACGTGCGAGGTCTCCTCCGAGGTAGAAAATCAAATGGCGCAGTGCCCGAAAGATGTCCAAAAAACGTCTCAATTTTTTGTACGACTTTTAGACGCTTCTGAGACCTCTCCAATGTATAATCGATTATAAAGATATAATAAATGTGCAGGAACACACCAAGTGTCATCAAGGAATGCGAAAAAAGGAGCCGCCCTGGTTGGAGGGCGTTCAATTGACGCCGGAATTGATCTACAAATACCAGATGCATCCGAAGACGTTGAACGATGTGCTGAAGGTCGACATGGATGCGATGAAGAAGTTCAATCAACCGTTTCTGGTGAACGATCAGCTGGGACAACTTTATCTGGATCTGGAGCTGGAGGGCTTTGGTACGGAACTCGTTCTCGAGGATGGGATCACGTCGAACGGAAGCGACAGCGGCAGCAGCAACGGCAATTGGACCGAGTCGCAGGTAAGAAGAATCAATAAAAAAGAGTTGCGAGATTTATTTTAAAAAATCTATTTTACGTAGCACGATCCGTTTTTCTCTTTTGCTTTTTCTATTTAGCGCAAGCAGAGAAAAATGGTGAAGTACGGCAAACTGGTAATGATCCATGAAGAGAATGCGCCTCTACCGCCTCCATTAGCATCTTAAGATTATATCTTGCCAACATTCGTAGGAAATGCAGTCGGGCAGACCTAAAATATCCTTGAGCTTAAAGTGACGTTCGTTTCGTCATGCTTGCATTTCTTTCAAATAGGTACAATCTTCAGATTATATTCTCGTACTCTCTTTCTCTTCCACTTAGATATACATTTGGTTTTTAAGAGTTATCGAACAATTTAACTTTCGTCTCGAGTAATTTTTAATTTAATATATAATAATTACATATATAATATAAGAATATATACAATTTAATATATATTTTTAATATGTAAAGAACAATAATTCTCTCATTGCGCTGTTATGTATGTTTTCGATTACTTGTTTATACTCGAGATAAAAAAATTAAAATTTACTCTTGAAATTTTAAGATTAAACTAATTTTTAGTCGTGTTAAAATATTTGAAGGTGTAATGTTTTTTTTGTAACTATAAGTACTCTATTCTATTTTCCAACACCTCGTTAAACTCATCGATCAGATATTGATGAAGGTTAAATTCTTTCTTTGATACGTAATATTTATCGGCAAATTTTAATCGAATGACAGAGAATGAATATAATTTTTTGAGAGTCAATTGAACAATTCTAATGGAGAAACGACAAATATGGATCGATGTGTACATAAACACATACAGACATACACACACACATACACACACACACACACACACACACACACACACACACACACACACACACACACACACACACACACACGAATGAAATGCACTTGATGAGAGAGTAAATTTACTGACGTTCAACGATATATACACGCGCGTTTCTTAAAAATCGATTTGATGAATGGTTCCAATCTGGTTGCTGAAAAAAAAATGAGTTAGGTCTAAAGCTCGGAGAGATTTTCGAAGATGCCTTAACCACAAGTAGTGAGTTTGAGTATATTTTTAAAAATTGTCAACGCGAAATATGGAGCGCATAATTAAACACGTATGAAATTACCACGAAATATTTGTACTCGTATGAACATATATATATATATTTAGATATATATTATATTCGCGTACAGAACGTGTCCTAGAATTATCAAATATTCTCTCAATCACGAATATGATTGAAAGAATTTATTACGCGATGATTTTGGGAAATATTCTGTTGAATAGATGATATGTATAATTATAATACTAATATATGAGAATAGGAAGAATGACTGGTTTCCTCCGCAACGCGAAGGCAAATATAGTACAAAAAAAAATAACGTTTGACACACACACATATCTATATACAGACATAGGCTGCGTTCCGATATTTTCTGCCAGTACTGAAAATCTATAGTTTACATCATGTGCATTATAGATTTTTAGTACTAGCAGTGAATTTTAGAACACGGCCATTGTACACATACAGAATGTTTATAAAGTCTGTCTCTCTATATTTCGGAAACGGCTCAAAATTTTTAAAAGGGTACGCAAAAAATTGTTAAATTCAAGATAACGCCAAAATTTTAATTTTTTTTTTATAAAACCAAAGCCGAATCTGAATTTTTTATGGAAAGGACTTAAAAAAAGAAACACCTTCATACCTCGAACGTTTTTTTAAGATTTTCTAAATGAGAGTAACGATTTTTTTAAAATTGGCTTTTTCAAGCTTTGACCGTAAATAACTTCTGAATAGGTCAAGTATCAATCTCCGGTTTGCGCCAAAAATTTTCTTGTTTTGTGCGCTTTCAAACGATATACTACAATATGGGGGATTCCATTTGAAATTTTTGAGTTGGGATCTCCCTGAGACACCCCCTTGGGAAAACAACTTCCCCAACCTCCTTAAAAGAGTAGCCCCTCGAAATGATCGAACATGTATTTCGCAGTTTTTCATAATTTTGAGCTGTTTCCGAAATATAGAGGGTGGGGACAGTTTGTATAGACACCCTGTATACATAGTACATGCACTAATTTTCAATATTTTCTGTAATATTCGTTTGTATTATTAGCAACGTATATGAATTTATCATTACAATCGATTTTGTATGTTTGTATGATTTTATTAATGTAAAGATATTTTATACGTGAATGCACATGAGATAGAAAGAAAATACTTTGATCCATAGAGTAATTCTCGTGTAAGTACTCTACTTTTTTATCATGAATTTTAATACTCTTTTTTTTGTGAATGTTTATACGCGAATTTTGATACTCTTTTTTCGCGAATGTAAAAATCACTTTTACAAATGTTATACGAAAAAGCGATTTTGCAAAAATTATACGAAACAAGCTTAGATTAGTTTCGCCTCTCTTTGTACGATTAATTCTTTCGTTAAGAGGTTTCCATGAAAATAGGAAGAAAAGGACAATAAATATATCGGACGTCTCGAGGAGATATAAATATATATCGATAGTGAAATATATTTTTTATAGCGTTGTTTTATACTTTATAATTTCATAATTCTCGTAGTGTTACTTATATTACACTCGCGAATTGAATTGGCACACAATAGCTGATACTACAGAAATAATAATCCTATCAATTTATTGAAAAATTATGAACCGTAATCAAAAAATTTTGCTTACTTTACATTAATATCAATTTCGCTTATAATCGATGATCAGAAATGCATTTTTCGACAAAATTCATTAATATACATTTATTTTTGTTAAGAATCTTAACATTTGTATACGTTTGCAACCGGAAGCCTTATCAGAAAGCGGTTAAAACCAACAAATTACGCTATAATGTGCATTTCATTCAAGATACGTAAAATTACGCGACGTATGTAGCTTCTAGGGATTGCGATTTCAGGAGAGAAAAGATCATCTCCTAGAAGCTACATCGCGCACTGCATCACAACACTCGTGGTGCACCACAATTTGTACATTGGACATTTTTTATATTTCTGGAAGATATTTTAGAGCAAATATATATAGGATGATACATATATATAACTAGACTAACTAAGGAGAGATCTATATTTACTTATTGTTAGATTTATTATATAATACATGTGTTTTTCTCTCGCGGGACTAATTATATTTCTCACATCAGTTTCCTCTGGCAACTGTAATTTTCCACGAATAAATCCTCATTAAATGGAACTTAACAAAAAATAGAATGGTAACGTGATGACAATTGCATAAATTTAAGTTTGTACTATTATTATACATCAAGTGTTTAGATAATAGTCCACGTGAGAGAGAAAACCGATCGAATTTCGCGGTATTAATCACGTTACAAAGAAAAAAGGAAAAATTCGAGTTATATATTTGTAATCGGATAGTCCGATGATATGTTCGACGTAAACCTATTTCAGGAATTTATGGACCAGTAAATTAGCACGAACATTCTTTTTAAAGAATCCGAATGTTACGATGATGATGCATTCAACGCGAAAATTTTGTACATGACACGTATTTGTGCATATATCACGCAACAGGTACGGCGTGTTGTCGACACAGTGTTTGCCGTCCGCGATATCGATAAGAGACAATATTTTGTATACCGACTATTTATTAGCAGATCGAGAGATTTCGCGGGACAGAGAGATCCCGAAACTCGGAAAATCTAGTCTAGTAATTTATTATAATCCATAGCTGTGTTTCACTTCTATAAACGTTTTCGCATGAGCGGAACTATTTTCTACATGAGATCTTGCACACAGCGACTGTATCTCGTACACGAAACAAAACGATGTGGGATTATCGATGCTGGATTTTAGCGACCTTCTTGTCTTATTGTAGAATTTTATATATTTTCTCATACAGAAAATACATATCAGTTCTTTCGTTATAAAATAGAAAAAAAGTGAGTTTGTGTTGAAATTAATTATTATTGAGTTTCGATATTTTATAGAATAAAGTATAGTAATAATTAATTTTCAGAGAGAATTGCGTTTTACAAATAATAAAAATAATACATTCTCTCTCTCTAATCGGAATATACATAGTATGTGGATCAAAATGTCTTTTAAAATCCAGCTTGCGATTTTCTCGATTATGCAGCTGAAAATGATCGACCATCGTCGCGCTAGCACAAATTTTGCGATCTCCTCAAAGAATTATTCCTGAGGAACAATCACCTTGATCCGATAATTAAGGACATTCTTTTCGAGAATGACTCAAGGCGTTAATAAATGCAATCGTAGAGTTTAACGTAGTATAAGACATTCGTGTAATTCGTCAAGTTTACAAAAATTGTATCGGATGAGCTGTTTTTCTCTCTCTTTAAAGAGAAACTTTAGTAAATCGATCGAGTGAATTAAAGAAAAGATGCGATGATGTGATGACAAGTATAGAGGAACTTTTTCCTCAGGGACTCTGTCCCTCCACATCTTCGTTCATCTAACTCTGTTCGTGCATCCCCGGAAACTCATATTTTTCTTTAGCCATTTTCTTTTTTCATCGCTTATTACATACAGATTAATATACAGATCTCTCTAATGAAACGCGCGCCGTCTTGGCGATCTTATCGTATAAGTACAAAGGACAAAATATCGAAGCCGTGAAAAATCTCTTCTCTCATTTCCAAGTATCTTTATTAAAATTTTCTACTAATAAATAAATAATATAAATTTCTATTTTCTTTTCTTTACGAGTATTTTTTAGTAATGCCTTTTTTAACTTGGAATATAATTTTCCAAGTATGTATAACTTTAGTTTGTTATTGGTTCTCTTTCAGATATGCGCAGAATTCAGAGATATTTCGACACTGTCACGATTTTAGAATAATTACTTTTTTGCATTAGGATTTAATTTACGGAATGTAACTTTGATTGCGATTAAGTACTATGTACAACGAATTGTGTAATTGTTTTTTGTAAGTTATTGTAATATTTATCGTGACTTTTTTGTATTTTATATTTAATATCGAACGAGATAAACAAAGAAATGTGAATTTGCAGAAGTATTAATACATTAGTTCATCTCAAATATTACATCATAAATTAAACGCGTAATTCTTTGATAACGAGGTTTAAAAGCATAATGATGTTAGCAAACAAAATATACAATAAATATAATTTACATCTTATTCTTGTATTTATCGAGAACGTCTATTAAATCGAGTTTGTTTAAAAATGTTCTATCTCGCACACAATGCATACAGTGATTGATATTTTCCAATTGAGTAATTACTCTGATCTCCGAAATATATTTTTATGCAAAAAAATTATTTTGTTTTTATTTTAATAAATAAAAATTATTTTATTTATCTTATCAAAAATTGTATTATATAAAGGTTCGAATTATAAACGTTATTTAAGATCGGTATTATCTAGGATTAAAAGGATCACGGAGACTGGATTGTCCATCACTGAATTATACGAGAGATCATCGAATAAATTTTATTGTAACAATAAAGTATATGACTCATCAGGATGATATATACATGACGTAAATCACAAGCGCGCGCGAGGCGAATTTATTCACGTAATGAAGAAGAGCGATAGTAGAGAGAAAAATATACATATTGCACGAATAAGGTGAGACTTTCACTTAATTACAATGTGAGTGTAAACTAATTATGTTCGTTGTGTATCGAATAAATGTTAAAAATTGAAATACTTGTACATTTTATTGCAATCTTCGTCGGCAAATAAGATAAAACGATCTATAATGTGGCACGTGTAAAAAAAAGAATAATTCAGATCTGGCTAGCAAAATAATAAATACAGCCGAGAAACAAAATTATCTATTTCTCACGAATTGCACGCTACCCATTTTTTATCAATACAGGCTTTTTCATATTATAGAACAACTTTGTGAGAGACGTAACAAAATATAAATAAAAATATATATATATACATACATGCCTAAGCCACAAAAGTCTATTTAGTGTATTAAAATAGTATGCACGAATATTTCACCAATTAAAGCGAATAAAATAGTTAAAGATATAAAGTGCTGTTATACATATGTTTATCTAACTTCGATTTTTTCCCAATAAAATCGAATATTATGTCATGCTAAGGATTGAAGATTTTAGTGTGTATTGGATGAATTAATATCATGTAAATTAAGTGTTTAATCAAATGCGTGACAAGTAATTACAAAAGATATATATATTTTATTAGCCCTTCCTTTAGTTTCCTAGATGTACGTGTATGCATATATAAACTTTTGTGGCTGAGCATATAAGAAATCTCACAGGTATTTATCTTAAGAAAACACATTTAGTCATCTTGAAGGAGACTCAACGGGTCCTCGACGATCTTCTCAGCCGTTTTCTTCAAGTCCCTAGTGACCAATTTCTTCATGGCTGATCTTGAACTCGGCGCGCTCATCTTCGCATTCGTCTTCGAGTCTGTCGACATAGATGACTGCTTGCCGAAGATATGATCGTCGTTGTCGTCGTCCTCATCATCTGACGCAAACAGGGACTTGACAACTTTCTTAGGAACAACTTTTCTCGCGGCGGAAAGATCGACATCGTCGTCGACCTTTCCGCCAGAAGGAAAAGCGTTGCACGCCACGTCACCAAAGATATCTTTCAAGTTCGAGTTCTTGGCTTGAGAATCAGCGAGATCGTGTTTGGGCTCCGAGAACGATGTGCTATCCGATTTCTGTGATTGGCCGGACGATTCGACAAACAGATTGGAATCGTCGTCATCGTCGTCGTCAAAAATGTTCTTCTTTCGTCCAGCTTGAACAGAATTTAATTTTTGGCTGTCTTGCTTTGTTTTGCCGGATGCGCTGCCGAAAAGACTATCGTCCTCGTTATGTACATCATCATCGTCGCCAAAGAGACTGATCTTTGTGTCTCGCAACGATTTTTTCACCGTTTTCTTTAACGGCGCCGCGGAAAACAGGTCGCCGCCCGCATCATCATCCGCGAATAGATCCAGGGTCTTCTTTTTGCTCGGCTCGCTCGATTTTCTTGCTAAACCACTAAAAAACAAACTATCGTCCGATTCGGAAAACAGCAATCCTTTGCTTTTCTCCGGCGACGGCGTCTTCGTGACGAATGCGAACAACTGACTAGGATCTTTCAGTGGATCGTGGCTGCTGTCGCGCAGAGGATCGCTCGGTTCTTCGCTGGATTCTCTACTCACTTCATCTCGCTCTTCGTTGAATGTACGCTTATCATCCCTCTTCTTGGCGTTCTTCAAGGTGTCCGATTTGGTATTGACATCCGATCCCGTTAATTCGCTAGAATCTTGTTTAGGACTTTTCTTATTCTCCGCGTTCATATCGATATCGACGATCTTTCTAATCACAGTATCGATTAGAGGTTTGACAGCAACAGGTGTTCTGTCAGACTGTCCGTCGTCAATCGGCGAAAGTATCGGTGCCCTACCGAACAACGTATCCTCCCTTTGCGGATCTTCCGGCAGATCTGGCGGCACATCGAACAGATCTTCTTCGTCAGTGGATGGCGACAATAGAGTGTTCTTGTTCACACTCATCGAGCTCTCCTTGCTAATGCTACCCAGCTCAGACTTGTCATCTGTGGAAGAAGGATCGATTGTCGAGCGTTGAGCATTGTTGGCGGTCAAACGATCAGTTGCGCTAATTGCCGGAGCGGCGGACAAATCTTTGGTAGACGATAAGGTACTAGTGTGGCTTTCGTCCAAAGAGTTATCGTTGTCTGCATTGTCGACCGTATCGAAATCAATGCCGCTGTGTCGCAATGCGGACTTCCGGGCGTGCCGGCTCTGAGGACGGCGTTTTGCTTGAATCCTTACTCGGCTCTAAAAAATAAAATTAACGCGATAGTAATGAAGATAAAGATATAAATTATTCATAATATCCCGAATAAAGAGGCGCGTCTTTATTAGTATTAGTAAAAATAAGATAGGTTAAAAAAAATATACTTTAAAATTCCATTGAACGTTAAAAGCTACTCTTCTTCCTTTTATTCCAAGAAATTTTCGTGAAATATTGTGCAAAACTTAACGAATGAATAAATTCGTTTATGTTTCAATTTAATAAGTACCTTGGACGCGGTAGTAGACAATGTTTCTACTTGAGCCAGATCGTCGAAGTTTATAGCCACTTCCACATTGCTGGTGGTGGAGATTGTTGTCGAATAAGAAGACTCCTTGCACGCGCTACCTTCTGTAAAAATAATTTCTTAAATTATTTCAAAATTCAATCTTTTAATTAACTTAATAAATATTCAAAACGCAAAACGCAAAACATTAAAATTACATTACAAGTAGATATCTTGTTAAACGATAATCACCCGACACACTAGGAGGCGAAACGTATCCACCGACACCCTGATCTCCATTGTCTCTATCCACAATATCTTCGTCTTCATCCGTCTTGTCCTCGCTTTTCCTCCATAACGGCGGTGCATCCATCGGCGAGAGTATTTTCAAGTCGCCCATCTTTCCCATTAGATTCTTTATCTTACCAGACACCGATTTTCGGTGAACTTGTTGGCCGTTCTGTTCTTCGGATGGCGGCGAAGAAGTCGTCCAAATGCTCAATGTTTTCGGCGGTGAATTCTTCTTTGTCCTGCCATCTTCGTCAGTTTTGGAGGACGTTTCTCCGATTTCAGCTTTATTCTTTTCCTCGTTTATATCACTCTTTGCGACGATATTTTTGGATTCCGTAGTCGTCTTGATATCACGATTTAAACTTGAAGATTCCGAATCTTTATTTTGCTCAGAAAGTTTTTGCACCTTCTCGATGATATCTTTCTTGACTTTTTCTTTGGATTCAGGTTTCGATCGATCGTCCTCGCGCGGCACTGCGTCCTTTTTGCCGAACAGATCGTCGTAATCGTCATTCTCAAACAGAAGGCTATGGGTTTTCGTCGTTTTCGAAAACAGTTCACCCGTATAATCCGAAGAATCATCTTTGCTCTTCTTTTCAACTTCCACACTAGAAACATTTTTGGAGACGTCGATTTTTGGTTCAACTGATGCATCTTTCTCTATCGAGGAGCGTCTCTTATCGCTCGCCTTGATTGACAGAAACAAATCATCCTCGTCCTCGAAGAGAACATCAGTCTTACGGTCGCTCTTCGGTTTCATTGGTTTCGCGCCGCTGAACAAGTCGCCGTCGTCGCCGTCGTCGTCGTCGTCGAAAAGACTGATCCTCTTGGACTCCATTTTGTTTTGTAAATTATCTAGCAATTTACAATTAGAAAAAAAACAATGAAGTCTTGTCGTGTCAAAATAAAATGTCATTCGAAGAATCATAGGAATCAAAATACGCTCTATACTTACCGACGTTATTGCTCTTCGACGTTGCTGAATATTGTTCCCGGCCGCGACTATCGAACAAATCGTTCGAAGCCGATCTTGATTTTGATGCAACGTCGAATATATCAATGTCTGGTGCGTCCTTGCTGCCGAATATGTTATCGTCGTTGAACAGGCCGCCACTCTTCGGAGTTGCCTTGGCCGTCCTGTCGCTTGACGATACCGCGGCGAGAAAATCCGTGCTCTTTTGCGATCTGGAACCAGAGCTCGCGGCGGAAAAGAGCTCGTCGCCGGAATCGGAATCGTCAAAGAGCAATGAGATCTTCGATTTTGGCGCTCGTCTCGAGTCTGACTTAGTGGGCAACGGCGGCGGCCCGAAAAGACCGTCGTTCTCGAATACGTCGTCCTGCAGCAAAGACGAGTTGTCCTGCTGCTCCTGTCGTGATTGCTGCTGTTGATTATTGCTGTTGCTGTTAGCGTTCGCCGGGTTGGCGGGATAGCGTGTTTGCGCCGCGAAGAGGCTGTCACTGGTAACACGTTCGCGGTAGATCTCCTCGGATTTGAGCCTCGTTGAACTCATCTCCGGCTGGAAATTCATCCTGAGGAAAGAAGAAGCTTGAGTATTTTCAATTACCTTGCGAACCGCTGAACGAAAGCGGTAAATATTTATCTTTCAACTAGAACCAGAGAAATAAATATAAGATATAAATAATAATAATAATAAAAATATAATTTAATAAGCCTGCCTGAAATTATAAAAATTTTTATCTTACATGTATATAAAAGACAGTACGATCAATAGATCGGTATTAGTGCGGTGTGCGATCAAATCTCTCGCCACATTGGTAAAATAAAAGTATTCGCGCCAATGAAAATTCATCTTAGCTCAAAAATTCGTCGTCCAAACTCTAGCGATGGTCGAGTATCGCGATAAATGATGATCTATGACCTACATAGATATACTATGATATTTGATGTTAAGAATAATATGCACGATACGACATATTGCGAATGATTGATGAAGCATCTTTATAAAATAAGTAATTTTATCGCGGAATAATTCAATTCTACTTTTTAAAGCAAACTATTTTGCGGATATTTAATTTAGTTGTTTAGTCTAGTGATCTGTATATTTATAAGCTATTCCGATTTCTCACGTCACTCCTTCGACAAAATTCGAAAGAAAGACGAGGATTCAATTATGTAAATATTAGATTAGCTTAATAGATTCTCGCTAAAAATTGTCTTATAAATATGGATAATTAATTATGCCTGTTTGTCGATTAGGTACTTGACACAATTCCCGAATGTGTTTTTGACTCAAAACAATGCAATGCTAGCGATTGTTTTTTTGTCGTAAAAATAAGATACAATATAAATATGTAAAAATCCTCGTTACGTCTCTCTATAACTTAAATGTAATCCAGGAAAGATCAACGGGAGAATCTTGCCTTCATTATATGTCAAGGCAAGCCGAATACTCGATTATGCATCCAATTAGTAGAAATCGAAAAAAGAATCCTCCTTTTTACTTGCAAAGACTTCTGACGTGTAAGAGCTCGAACATAAACATCCGCGAATTATAATTGACGTTTAACACGTTGTTTGAAACGAAGCGCGATAGACACGCTCAGCGATGACAAGAATGGGACTGTAACGTGCTCGGATAAGTCATCATTGATTAACGCTGACTGGCGTTATTTCATTGATTTGACACTTTCCTTTTTTTCTCTTATCCTGTTGCTAAGTCTCCGCGCGCGCAATAATGCGCGTTTTGCATCAGTGCCGGAGATGGGATACGAGAGATGTTCTCCTAGAGGTCACACAACACTGTATACGAAAGGAGGGAGAAGCTATATATAAGAGCTGGATGAGTATTTTAGCCTGATTGTTGACTCTCCCCTTCCTGATACCTTTCTAAGCAAGGAAGAAGACGATGAAGGGTCGTCTGGTCCGTTGCGCGATCTTGTTGATGGTATGCGTGTTCGCGCACGCTGTGCATTTGCCAGGTAAGTTTGCGTAACTTAGCGATTAGAAGAGTATATTTCTGAAAGGAAGAGATGCAGATACCACGGAATTGTAAACACGTAGTAGAACGGCTTAAGATCTTGCTAACAATTATATATATTGAAAGCGAGAGACTCTCTGTCTTTTGAACGCCGCGTAAACACGAGGTCCCCGCGTCCTTATTTCGATGACAGATTATATATTTTTGGCGCAAAATAAATAATTATCCCAAAAACGAATGCTAGGGCTAATGATACTTCCAGCGCATGAATGGAATTTCTCTACGATACGATTTTATTTACGTAGACGGCTGTCCGTTTGAAGGCGAGACTCTAAGTGTGGGTCAACACACTCGGCGATGTTTACGGATCACTTGTCACGCGGAGGGTAAAATGACAATGCTCGGGTGAGTCCAAGTCTTATTTCTCAAATTAATCCTGCTTAAAATATCTCCTCGCTACATCTGATGCAGCTAGATACGAGATTTCGTGTATTCCGAAAAAAAAAAATCTTTAATTATACTTGATTAATACTTGATGCTTTCGATTGTTTAATTTTCTATTCAAAAAAAGCCGGCGATTACATAAGAATCCTTTGATAACCGGTTATCCCGACCTTCGAGCTGCAATGCAAATCGACTTTTACGGAATGTGCAATAATGATAATTAATACACGATTGATCATCCAAATTCTAAATTAAAAAAAAAAAAAAGAACAATCGGAAAAGTCTGTTTGAGATTTTGATTGAATAATGTCGTTTCTCGTGTAACGTTGAATGATTAATTTGTCAAAGCTTTCGAATCCGCAAAATCAGTTATGAGAAAGAATTATTTATAGTTTCACATATGTGACATTTCCACTCTATTTGCGACGTAGAGAAAGTACATGATTTCTGGGGCACGATACATTTGCCAACAAATCAAAGAGACTATGGTTTACTTTAATTATACTGCAACAAGATAATACTCTATGAAAAGAGCGAAATATCTTGTTTTATTTAACATTTACAAATTTCACATCTTTCTCTTCTGTGACACAATAGATTCGATATAATAATATTCTCGATATCTCTATTCAATAATAAAAAAAAATTTTCTCTACAAAATTTTATTTTCTGATCTCGTTGAATTTAAATATTAAATTATTATTTATTATTTTGTTTCTTTTTAGATGTCCCTTAGCTCACTGTCCGGAAGGAAAGCAAGTGGATTATCGCGACACGGACTTCAGCAAACCTTATCCAGATTGCTGCGAAAGACCGATTTGTAAGGAGGAAAAGTAAAGAAATTAGGACACTCTACCAAATATATATATTTCCGTAAAATAAAAATATCCCTCTCGTCTGAATCTAAAAAAACGCAAGATCCACCACTTTCTTCGCTTGCCTGTTATTTATCGCAACTGGATATAAATCCAGATGTCTTACGCACGCGATAACGCCAAAACCGAATTTATCTACTTGCGTCCTGGTGCTTCTCGTCGCTCATACTATTTTTAGTTTGCATCACCGTCGCATTTCACGATTCTTTACATGCGATTTCTGCGCGCGACGAGAAAACGCAAAAACACTCTCCTCTCTTCACTCACTCATATATTCCGCAAAGCTAAATAAAAAACTTCCAAAACAGCATTAAAAAACTCAAATAAATGCCATTTTCGCCCGAATCCTCGCTTGCCCGTAAAATTTCGCGAAATTAACGAGAAGCTGTAGCGTCTTTGAAAGAAAAAAGAAAATGTTCTTTTCTCGAAAAGAAAGTGATATTTATTTCGTGAATAAATTCGGCTTTAATTCAAATCAATTGGAAAGTATATCGACTTTATATCGTTTATATTTTCTCTACTTGCCTTCCATTTTTTCGGAGTTGACAGAGAGCAGTTTCTCGAGCAACAGTTTGCAGACTGATGTTCTGCAAAAAAAAACTGAATATTCTTTTCCCTATCACTTCGGACCGAGTCACTAAAATTTTTGTACTCGGTCGTCGTCACATTTCTCGAGATTAGGCGATGAGAGAGTCAACAACTGGCGATAGGCAACGCATATTCAGTCGTACTGAAGAAGCTCGCCTTGGACGCTCGCGCGGTATTTACTCGCCGCGCGGCAGCGCGCGTAATAGAACGTAACGTAAGACGAGTGACTAATGTTTGGGTCATCGATTCAATGACACTGTAAAGTACTTGGCATGTGTGTAAATCCCAGGAGAGAAAGAAAAAGAGAAAATGGGCTGGCACGCATATCCGATTTACCGATATGAGGAGAACCGAGAGACTAGAATATCTAAATAAATATTCCTCGGAAATCAAACAGCTTCAGGTACGATTGACCTCGACGACGATTCTCATTCCGCATGCATTCTGGATGCAACGTTAGCGTCCATGAATACGGAATAAAGCCGCAATCTCTTTGTTTTAGACGCTGACCTCGTCAAACGTCGGTATCATGTGTCATCGTATACGTTTCCGCAAAATGCAACTCGAGATTCTCAAATAATCGTTTAGTTCAACATTTGATGCGAGTAAACGCGCGCGCGATCGATGGTATGTGTATGTGCTTTATACATATATTTAATTTAAGAAATAGAGTTTTAATATCTACGATTTAATTGAAAAGTTTATCGCGATAGCAATTACTTTAATATGTGATGCATTTATAGCGAATTGATTAATCAAGTTTCGTTTCAAATAAAGAAGAAACAATCCTTCAACGCAATTTAACTGAAAAAAATGTTTATAAAATGCTCTAGAAAATTATTAAAAAGAAAAGAATATGACAACTTACCACAAACCCGACCCGACAGTGTTATCGATGCTAGACGGTTGCATATATATTCCGCTGCTGTTGTTGACGTTTTCGACGAGTACGTTCTCCGCGGAATTTTCGGCCGGCGTGATCTGCAAACGGCGGTTCGCGATCGCAGTGTTATCATTTGAAATGTCTCTCTCTGCGGACGCTGGCTCGGCGTTGCTTTTTGTCGCACTATCACAATTTCCTGACACATCGCTATCGGACGACGAGCCGGATGATTCCTGCCGTCGTTGCATTATTCGACTCGATAGTTTGCTCTCGATGTCCGACGATAAAACATTGCCGAGTATCGATTCCTGCAATTTATTTTAATCTCTATTAGTCAAGTATATGTTGATTTTATTGTGATATATAATTGCAAATTTAGTTTTTTTTTATCATCAGTGTAATAATGTAAAAATATTGATATATAACTGATTTTTTATGTAAAAAAATATAACGTGTAACTTTGGAAATTAAAATTAATTTAATTAAATTGCAAAAAGATTTATATTCTGGAAAGTTATGTTATTCGAATATAGATATCAATAATGTCAAAAAGATTACGTACAAATCATACCGACAGCTTACTTTTTTACTCGATTCCTGAATCGTATTTGTAGGATTATCCCCAGTTTTATGAGATTCCTTCTTGGGGCTTTCGAACAGATTCGCAACATCGTTTTCATCATCGTTGAACAGACCCGAGGCGTTGATATTGGATTCCGGCGTGCTGGTGGCGATGTTACCGGTAGTCCCCATGACGTTCAAAAATCCCTTTGCTGCGGGGCGAATATTATCACCGATGGTGGGTTCTTTCGTGCGTTTCTTGATGATATTCCTGGATGAGAAAATATCTGAGTCTTCGTCTGAATCGGCATCGGCAAATAAATCATCGATTGCCGATTTTGGCTTCGTTGCTGAAAGCACAGACGAATTAAAAAAAATTAATCTATTATGAAGGGTTTCATAAAAATAAAAGTACTTACAAACTATATTAATCGGTGGTGGTACGTCAATACTGGGTGGTATAATATTGTTACTCTTGTAAGATTTAATCGACTTCTCTTTCCACAGGTTTGCGGACACCTGATCATCAAAAAGACCCTTCTTGTTGCTGAACAAATTATCTGAACTATCATTAAACACATTTTCATCCTTCTCTGATGTAAATAAATCACCTGATAAAGAGATCATTGTCAAACCGTGTAAATATTCATAATTTTTATTTTGTTTATTTGTGATAAAGATTGTGAAATGCGTGTACTTTTAAATCGATTGATCGACGATTCATTGGTTTCATCCACAACGACAGGATTCTGCGCTTGGCGAACAGTGCCTAATCGTTTGGCCAACTCTTCTGCAAAACTGGGCTCCGTTTCATTAGACGTCTGCAATAGAAAACAATATATAAACTCGTCTGAAAAGTTTTAGAAGGTAAAAATATAATAGAGAAATTTTTTCACACATGATCCATCGATTACCTTTGATACATTATTAGGTGTGACGGACTCCGAGGCAGAATTTAAATTATTCTGAGAAATCGTATCCGCCTTGTTGTTGATGTAAGGTACATTACTTGAATCATTATAGTTGTCCGAATCGCTAGAGGACGATGACAATCTCGCTATATTTATATCCGGATTATGTCGACTGTTAAACATCTTTTGCACACTCGCGTCCTCCTTCTCGCTTTCCGATTCTTCCCTTTCTTCGTCGGCTTGTTCGGATTCGCTGCTGCTGCTCTCTAAACCTATCTTATTCGACGCCATCCACTTGTCGGACCCAATAACGTATGGTAGGGGTCGATCTTGGTAAGGATCATTGGGCCCAACAATGACACTGTAAACCGATCATATTTTAGAATGAAAGAAATTTCATATATATGACAATGAAAATAACAGCATCCAGTGATATACCTGAATACTACTGCACCGCCTTCATCTTCCTCTTCGCTGTCGCTACAAGCCACATCCATTACTTTGTACTTTTCATCCATTATATTTAAACCTTGCTTAACACTCTCACTTATGCTGGCTAGAAGATTCTCTGGTACTAAATCCTGACTATTCACATTCTCATGAAAATTAAGAAAAAATAATTTTATTTGGATGATTTTTCACAGATATTTATCGAAGAGTAGTATTTATCATAAAGTACATTACATATTGAAATGTATTAAAAAATATTAATTCCTTGAAACACACATATACTTACTTCTTGTTTCTCAGAATTTTCCTTAATTTCTATGTCATCTTCCTGAACACGACTTTCAATAAATTGAGTATTGGCTAAAGCCAAAGATGTATTAGTAACATTGTCAACTAATATCCCTGTTTCTTTTAATTGTGTCGTTAATGTGTCTAAAGCAGCTTGAGTTTTGTCGGCTCTAGACATCAGATTCTAGAATTTTGTACAAAATAATAATGTCTGTGTGCCATCGAGTATAAGTGTCGCAAAATAAACTATACCTCAGAAAATTGTTGAAGATGCTTGAGAAGTCCAACATCACCCGCCAGACTCCACTCCCTCCTCTTTTTCCTCATCTCTTCCGTGGTCCAGGGATAATCCCATGATTTGTCTATGCCGTTCGACGGTTCCTGTCACAATGAAATAATCGATCAAAAAATATTTCATTATGTTTATTTCTTGTTACAATCAAAAATCTAAAAAAAGAAAAAAACAACCATTACCAAATACTGAATGCAATATGTATCAACACCAAGTATATATATACTGATGTATTAATATTAAACTCAGTTCAATTAGAAAAAAAAGACGATTTTTCGATCAAAATTGTGCAAATAAAAAAAAGAAACTACGCAATCGGACTGATCTCGAATTGAATATAGTTTCTGAAAATCACATATAACACGTTCCTTTATTTATACCTGCTAACCTATAAGCGAGAGCAAATGTCATCGTTTATTGGAATATTTCACTCACCATGTCGAGCAACTTGTGCCCGCGTCCAATACACGGAGAAAGCGACGAAACTTTCCCTCTAGCGATCACATTTAAACAGATTAGCGAAAGAAAACTATGCCTGAACTTTCTTTATCGAAATTCGCACTGTACGAGAGAAAAAAAAAATAGAGGAACGCCCGCACTGCGAGCGGATTATCGGAGTAATGTCAGAAGCGCTGTCAGAAGTCGGCGCCAAGGGCGGATGATAATCTCATCATATATAAACACATTTCCATCTTGCGATATATATATTGTATATATACAGCGTGAATGTAAACAATAATATCTTTTTCTCATCCGCGACATAAAGAAAAAGAAAATTTATCTACACGAAGGATATGATATAGATATATTATTCACACATTATAACCCCTGCTATTGGATATCCCAATATATATGTAAAATAAAGATATTTTCATTAAATTGATTGCTTTCGCTCTTACACTACATTTTGTACATACATACACAGTCATTTTTATTATTATTATACAATAATAATATATACAGGCATTTTATTATGTATATATATATAATATATATATCAGTTATCGGACGCAATCGCTCGCGCTGTTACAATATATATATTTTGCGCACATACTCATATACTTGTGTTTATATTATTATACAATAAACGCAGACATTTTTTATTACGTATATATAATACATATATCGGGTATCGAACGCAATCCCTTTCGCTGTTACACTATACACGCATATTTTATAAGTAATAAAACTGTTCTTCTTATCTCTTTCTGAGTAAATCGTAAAAAGATAAGAAGTATAAATAAAATTTATCCTCGGTGTCGCTGTTCAAATAAAAAAAGAAGAGAAAAGAAACATTCGATTTATCTAATCGTTATATATATATGTGTGTACCTGTAACCGCCGCGTCGTGGAGCGAGGGAGAGGGACGAGGCATTTATTTTGTTCCGTGTTCCGGGGAAAACGCGATGGAACGAGCGGAAGCGGACCGCGAGCGGCGCCGCCGTCGACGGAGTCGCACGCAATCGCCCTCCGCCGGATTGTTTGTCAATATCCTCCTCCTCCTCCTCCTCCTCCTCCTTCTCCTCTTAGCCGTCGAGGGTACGCGCTTCGAGTACGCCCCGTCGCTCGCCAGCACGGTCGTCGGCGACCTCGGCTGGCAGCAGCAACGGCGTCACAGCACGGTGTGAACAAGTTCACCTTCCTCGCTTCTCTCTCTATCTCTCTATCTCTCTCTCTCGACGGTCGCGATCCCCGGGATCCCCGCGATTTTTCCGCTCGTCGTCGCCGACCGACGCTGGAATGCACGAACGAATCCTACGGATACTCGTCGTGTGCGTGCAGTAATACACACACACACATATATACGCATCATATACATATATGCACGTGCATCATATACGCGCGACAATGCGTCGACCGAGTCCATCTGTTTCCCCGTTGAGAGGATGCGTTGCCGTCCCGTAACCGCGTCACCGGCGTGACTCCGGAATCGAAGTCGCTCGCTTTGGAGGAAGCAAGCGCCGAGATAGCGCGGAGTATTTCCTCTTGGGAGAAGCGCGACGGACTTATAACGAATTCGGCATCGGACACGCGCTGATTCCGCTCTGGTACATAATACATATCAGACGAGAGTGCGTCCAAGTTGATGCGGAGCGGCACGTTATTGGGACGTTACGACGCT